ATGATGTTGATGATGTTGATGATGATAATGACGTTGATTGTGAGAGCGATTGTGATATCGATAGTGAGATCGATATTGGGACCGCATGTGAAATCGATTGTGTGATCGATTGTGAAATCGATTGTGAGATTAATTGTGAGATCGATCGAATGAGATAGATCGAGTGATATCGATCGGGTGAGATCGATGGAGCGAGACCGATGGTGAGATCGATACTGAGATCGATAGCGAAACCGATCGAGTGACACGTTGGTTCCCCCCCCGAACCTCCTTATCACCCAAAGTGGCCGTATAGGTATTCCAAAAAGAATTCCTACGGAATCCTTCAGAAGGGTGCGCCGAAATGAAGTTTCGGTGGAGCTCCCTGAACCACGATCCTCGAAAGGGGTGCGCCGAAATCAAGCCTCGGTGGAGCTCCCTGTAGGGCCAGGGCCACGATCCGTGAGAGGGGTGCGACCTTTGGGGCCTGTATGGGACTCCGCAGCAGCCCCGAAAGGACCTTCCGAGCAGGCCCTGCTGACCCCCGCAGCGGCCTGGCGAGGCCTCGTGGCGTTGCTCGGACCAGGGACAAGCGGGGCCCGTGCGTGGCCCCGTGGCGTTGCTCCGGGGGGGGGGGGTCCAGCAACGGGCCTCCAGTAGTGCCCCCGCGAACAACAACAGCAGCAGCAGCAGCAGCACCAACACCAACAACAACAACAACAACAACAACAACAACAACAACAACAACACCAACGACAACGACAACGACAACAACAACAACAACAACAACAACAACAACAACAATTACTAGCACGTGGGGACACACCGTTCTCACCAGTGCCAGGGTTTTCATTGGAGGCGGGCAATACCCCCACTTTGTGGGGGGGCCGGTTCAAGCTCTACCAAATTTCCAGACGACTCTTCGCCACCACCCACACCCAGCTTCCCGCCCTATGACGTTCGGACACTTCACTTCGTGGCATGCGGACGACCGTGGCTACTATTCAGGGCCCCGCGGCCGACGACGACGGCGTGCGCGCGCGAAGAAAAAACGAATGTGTCCCGCATGGTATTATTTGACAGGGATGATGGCCCTGGCAGGTGCGCAACCGTTGTTGCAGAAGTTCGAAAAAGTTGCTCGCAAAAGCCCGTTTGACAGAAATGATTAAAAAAGTGTTGGGTTTCCTACGAATCCGCAAGAGCGCGCGGGATGAAATTTTGACATTTTTTGTTGAAAAACCATTGGTTTTTTGATGTTTTTATGTTAAAATCGCTACGAAAACTAAGGTTTTGGAAGGATTTCGTCTTGCGCGCGCGAATGTCCACTTTACCTTATTTTTTGCAAGGGATTCTTGAAGTTTGGTTATGTTAGAACAAGAAATGTCCATTTAGCTTATTTTTTGCAAGGGAAAACCGATCGTAACAACACAACCGGATCCGGACTCCCCCGTTTTGCCTGAGACTTCCTCACGAAAATGATGAAAATGAGGCTGCGGCCTAGGCGCGGCGGGGGGGTCGTGCACCAGGGGCCCCAACAATAATTATTCTTACTGGGGTTCAACAACAACAACAACAACAAACAACAACAACAACAAAACAAACAACAACAACAACAACAACAACAACAACAACAACAACAACAACAACAACAAGAACAACGACAACGACAACGACAACGACAACAACAACAATTACTCCGACGGTTGGACCCCACACGAAAACCTGATTAGCTTACCCATTGCCCTTTTCCTCCTCCCACCGGCGGACATCCTGTCCTCTCGCCCTCTGCACTGCCCTCTCTTCCTCCTTCTATTTATATTATCCTCCTCCTCCTCCTCCTCCCCCCCCCCTCCTCCTCCCCCTCCTCCTCCCCCTCCTCTCGCGCCAACTCCTCCTCCTCCTCCTCGCGCGCCACCTCCTCCTCCTCGTCGCCCCCCCCCCCATGCCCCTTCCCTCCCCATCCTCCTGCCTCTTCTCCACGCGCACCCCCCGCCCCCCCTGGTCGCGGCAAGCAACTCGATTTTCCTCGGCGCCGTCGCCGCGTCGGCCAGCACGACGCGTTCACCGACGGCTAGATCGCGAAGCCGTCGGGGGAACCCTTCGGGCCAAACCGCCGGGGCAACCTCGCAGGCCGCAGGGGCGCGGGAGCCAGCCGCTGGGACAACCCCGCGGGCCCCCAGGCGCGCGCTGAGGCGCTCAGGCGGGCGGCGGCGCGAAACCCAGCTCTGCAGCGAGCTGCTCCGCCTCAGCCCTGGCGCCCACCGCTCTCTCGTCGAACTCCTGGAGCGCTTTCCGCAGCGACGCCGGCGGCCCGCGCTCCAGAAACTCTCGCGCGGGCGGCCGCAGGATCAGCACGTTCCGCACGCACGTGGCGCGGGGAAAGATGACGTAGAGGCGCAGCCACCACATCTCGCCCGACATGCCCGTGCGGCCAGCGTCCTCATCCCTGGCGCAGTCGATGGTGACGCCCTTGCGCAGAATCTGGCCCTGCGACAGCGTGGAGGTTAGGTAGGACGCGTGCGCCAGGGTGAACCCCGAGCGGCGCACAGTGTGCGCCCCCGAGCTTTGCCACGTGACCTCCTGCTCGCTGGGCCTGAACATGAGCAAGCTACTCGCCCGCGCTTCGGCCTCGGCGTCGTCGGCAGCGCCGTCGGCGCCCTGCTGCAGCACCTCGGCGACCTCCTTGTAGATCGGGAATTCCTGGAAGCCGTGCGCCTGCAGCCAGATTTCCTGTGGTAGGTAGCGGGGGCGGAGGAGCTGGCCCGGCGCGCACTCCTCGTAGCCCCGCTCGTCGTCTGCGTGAAACTCGAAGGGCACGGTGGTGGCCCGTTGCTCCTGCACGAGCCCTGCGCCCGGCCGCCGCTTCCGCCGAGGATGGGTTACCACCCACGGCCCGGACGCAAGGGCTTCCCCCTGCGCCCGGCCGCCGTCGTCCTCCTCAATTCATGTTCCTCGTCCTCCTCCTCCTCCTCCTCCTCCTCCTCCTCCTCCTCCTCCTGCTGCTGCGCCTCAACTCCAGTTCGCATGCTTCGAGCTGGCTCAGCGCGGGGACTCCCGCGGGGACAGACTGGCGGGTTCCCGCCTGTGACTTCCTCGCGAATCACTCACAGACGAGGTTCCCGCCTGATACATCCTCCTTATTCAAGCCCTCCGGAGGCCAAAAATTACGACAGTTACACGTTTCGGATGACCCGCCTCGGATTAAAAACATGTGGTGCGGGCCCCATAGGGAGAGGCTTCCCGCCTGAGACGTCGTCGCAATTCCCTCACAAACGAGGTTCCCGCTTGATATTTCATCCAGATTCACGTCACAGGGGCCCGGAAGTGACGACAGTTACACGTTTCGAATGACCCGCCTCGGATGAAAAACATTAGGTGCGCGCCCCATAGGGAGGGGTTCCCGCCTGAGACTTCGTCGCAATTCACTCACAGACGAGGCTCCCGCTTGATACTACCTCCAGATTCTCGCCACAGGGGCCCAAAAGTGACTACAGTTACACGTTTCGAATGACCCGCCTCGGATTAAAAGCATGCGGTGCGGGCCCCATAGGGAGGGGTTCCCGCCTGAGACTTCGTCGCAATTCACTCACAAACGAGGCTCCCGCCTGATACTACCTCCAGATTCTCGCAACAGGGACCCAAAAGTGACGACAGTTACACGTTTCGAATGACCCGCTTCGGATTAGAAGCATGAGGTGCGGGCCCCATAGGGAGGGGTTCCCGCCTGAGACCTCCTCAAAATTCAGTCACAGACGAGGTTCCCGCCTGATACTACCTCCAGATTCTCGCCACAGGGGCCCAAAAGTGACGACAGTTACACGTTTCGAATGACCCGCCTCGGATTAGAAACATACGGTGCGGGCCCCATAGGGAGGGGTTCCCGCCTGAGACTTCCTCACAATTCACTCACGGACGAGGTTCCCGCCTGATACTACCTCCAAATTCAAGCCAGGGAGTGAGTGATGACGAAATGATGAGTGAGTGAATGATGATGATGATGATGATGATGATGATGAGTGTGTGGTGAATGAGTGATGATGATCATGATGGCCACTGAGTGGGTGGTCGAAATATAATGATGGAGATGGTGACGATGATGCTTAGAGTGGCGGCGGTCCTACCGTCGGAGGACCACTGCCTCCGAAGCCTGCTGAGGATGAGTGAGTAATTGAGTGAGTGAGTGGGTGATCGAGTGGTGATGATGGTGACGATGATGATGATGAAGATTATGATGATGAGTAATGGTGAAAGATTTTGATGATGAGTAGTGATGACGGTGATGGTGGTTGATGGTGATGATGACGGTAATGATGATGAGTGTGTGCGTGTGATGACGATGATGGTGGTTGATGGTGATGATGATGATGGTGATGATGGTGAGTGTGTGTGAGAGGGAAAGGAAAAGGGGGTGAGATCCTGCGCGGCGTGTGCAAAGAAAACAAGAACCCCACTTTGGATGTGGGGAACAACAACAACAACAACAACAACAACAACAACAACAACAACAACAACAACAACAACAATAACAACGCAACAAACAGAATCCTCACCACGAATCCTCGCTTCAGCCACGCACCCAGGGACAATGAATGATCGTTCGGCCCCTTCCCTCTGCCTTATAAGCTCATATACGTATAACAAATACATACATATTAGTTAATTTGCATGAAATGTTGTTCGTCGTATATTGCACCCGACGCGAAAGAAACTTGGTCGGAGATATGAGAAAGCGAAGGGAATTATCAGAAGCCCGCCTGGCCTCTCAAATGCCGTCCTGGAAGCTCATGGAAGCTTCTAACAGGCCCAACGCCCTTCCAGAAGCCACAGTGATTTTCACTCCCTTGACATCCGACACAAAGAAAAAAACGCACGGCAAGAAATCGCGACCAGAACCCAAAACGCATATATCTGCATCATGTCTTGAACTCGCTCGATCTGGGAGGGCCCCAGGGCCCCCAAGCGGGCGAAAACGCCCGCCTCGCCCGCCTCGAAAAAAAATTGACGCCAGGATCTCACGGCTCCTCCAGGGCATCCCGCGCCCTCGGGCAGCCCCTCGGCGCGATGCGGGCGACAATGCCGGCCGCTGCAGCCCGCGCGGCGGCGCGCCGCTCGCAGCGCAGCAACCAGAGGGCCCGGTCCAGCATGCCGCTGCCCTCCACGCGGCAGGCGGCGACCACAGCGCTCGCGGCCGCGTCCCTGACCTGTCGGTCCTCCTCCTCCACCTCCTCCTCCTCCTCCTCCCCCTCGTCCTCCCCTCTGATTCCTCACCCATCCTCCTCCTCTTGGGGTATGAAGGTTTCCCTGGCCCGCTGTTCCTCTGCATGCTCCCCCACTTCCCTAAGCAAAGCAACTCGTCTGGGCATCGTTGATGGATGGGCTGGCGCGGCTAGTTTTTGATCGCGAGCGCACCGGAGAACGCTGGGCGCCGTCAAGGTCGCAGCACGCAAGCTACGAGCCAATTGTGCCAAGGGGAAGGCAGGGAGCCGAGGAGAGGGCGCGGGGGAGAGACAAACAGGAGGCGGGCCTCGCCGCCGCTCAGAAGAGGGCGCCGTCGACAGGGAAGAACTCCCAGGCGGGCTGCATCGCCAAAATGGCGGGGAATTTAGGTTGAACGACACCTCGAGCGCACAGATGATGGGGACCACCGGCAGAACTCACCCCGAAGACCAGCGTCAGGGCCAACGGTCCCGCCGGCGCAAGTGGCGGTCGGCACGCACGCCAGGGCGGGCATCGACCAACTCCATGCAGGCGCTCAACGGACCAGAGTCCGGATCGCCAAACACCGTCAGGGACTGCCGTCAAGCGCCGGGCGGGCGGGCGCGGCAAGCGCACGCGCGCCGCGGTAGGCATGAGGACCCCGCCTGGGGACCGTCGGGGAGGAACCCGCACGGCGGGGGGCGACTGAGAGGTCAGCCGACCCCAGGCCGGGGAAGGGCGCCGCAGGCTGCGGAGTGCAGGGCCAGAAGGCCAAGGCGGAGACGCAGCAGAGGGCAGGCGGACAACCGAAAGGCAGGGTCCGCGCCGGCCACGCGGCAAGGGAGGAGCCCAGGCGGCGCCTCGCGCAGAGCACGGGCCGCCGGGCGGGGCGCCGCGGGGGGGCAGGCCACGGCAGCAAAACGCCTCGGACGCCTCTGAGACCCCGAGGTCAGAGACGGGGACAGAACGCCGACAGGGGGGGGCCCGAGCGACCCATGCTGGGCGAGAGGCTTTTATGCGCATGTTTGCAATATGTGTTTTTCCCCGCTGCGCAGCGCCAAGCATCACAAATCGTCGTCGGAAGGGGCCGCCACCCCGACGCACGAGGCCACCAACACAGCGATTGAACCGGCTTCCTCTGCTCGCCCTCCTCGCGCGCGCCCTCGCCGAGCAGCGCTTGGGTCGGCTACCACTGACCGCCTTTCTCGCGCGCGAGGCCAGGCTCCAGAGTCACCGCGCGCGTCTCGCTGAGCAGCGCCTGGGCCGACCCCCACTGCCCGCCCGTCTCGCGCGCGAGGCTGGACCCCAACGCCACCGACATCTCGCTGAGCGGCGCCAGGGCCGGCCGCCACCGCCCGCCCTTCTCGCACGTGAGATTGGCCACCAGCGTCGCCGCCAACATCTCGCTGAGCAGCGGCCGGGTCATCAGCCACTGCCCGCACTTCTCGCGCGCGAAGCTAGGCCCCAGAAGCGCCACCAACATCTCGCTGAGCACCAGCTGGGCCGGCCGCCACTGCCCGCCCTTCTCGCGCGCGAGGCCGGGCACCAGCAGCGCCGCCGACATCTCGCTCAGCAGTAGAGCCTGGGCCAGCTACCACTACCTGCTCCCCTCGCACGCGGGGCTGAGCTCCAGCGTCGCCACCGACGTCTCGCCGAGCAGCGGTCGGGCCGGCAGCCGTGGCCCGCCCTTCTCGCGCGCGAGGTTGGGCTCCAGCATCGCCACCAACATCTATTTGAGCAGCTCCTAGGCCGGCTGCTGCTGCCCGCCCTTCTCGCACGCGAAGCTGGGCTCCAGCATCGCCGCCAAAATCTCGCTGAACAGCGCCTCGACCAGCTGCCACTGCCCGCCCTCCTCGCACGTGAGGTTGGGTTCCAGCATCGCCACCAACATCTCGCTGAGCAGCGCCTGGGCCGGCAGCCGCTGCCCGCCCTTCTCGCACGTGAGACGGGGCTCCAGCGCCTCCAGCGACATCTCGCTGAGCGATGCCTGAGCCAGCTGCCACTGCCACCCCTTCTCGCACGTGAGGCCGGGCTCCAACGCCGCCACGCGCGTCTCGCCGAGCAGCGCCTGGGCCAGCCGCCACTGCCACCCCCCCCTTCTCGCGCGCGAGATTGGCCACCAGCGCCGCCACCAAAGTCTCGCTGAGCAGCGCTAGGGCAGGCTGCTACTGCCCGCCGCCCTCGCACGCGAGGTTGGGCTCCAATGCCGCGACCGACATCTCGCTGAGCATTGCCTGGCCCGGCCGCCACAGCCAGCCCTTCTCGCGCGTGAGGTTGGGCCCCAGCATCGCCACGACCATCTCGCTGAGCGGCGCCCGGGCCGGCTGCCGCTGCCCGCCCCTCTCGCACGCGAGGTTGGCCACCAGCGTCGCCGCCAACATCTCGCTCAGCAGTGGTAGGGACTGGCTGCCAATGCCCGCCCTTCTCGCGCGTGAGGCTGGGCTCCAGCGCCTCCACTGACATCTCGCTGAGCAGTGCCTTGGCCGACTGCCACTGCCAGCACGTGAGATTGGGCCCCAGCGTCGTCGCCGACATCTTGCTGGGCAGCGCCTAGGCCAGCAGCCACTGGCAGCCCTTCTCGCACGCAAGGTTGGGCTCCAGCGTCGCCGCCAACATCTCGCTGAACAGCGCCCGGGCCGGCTGCCGCTGCCCGCCCTCCCTGCACGCGACGCTGAGCTCTAGCAACGCCCCCAACGCGCTGGGCAGCGCCAGGGCCAGCTGGCAGCCGCCCCTGGCCGAGCCCCGCCCTTCCTCACCCCTCCTGGCCCACCCTCTCCACCTCCGTCACTGCCGCCCCCCGCGCTACCTCTGCTGCCACTGCCCCCCCCCCTCGCCCCCAATGCCGCCGCCGACATCTCGCCGAGCAACGCCTGGGCTGGATGCCGCCGCCGGCCCTTCTCGCACGCGAGGTTGGGCCCCAGCATCGCCATCAACATCTCGCTGAGCAACGCCTGGGCCGGCCGCCACTAAACGCCCTTCTCGCGCGCGCAAAGTTGGGCCCCACTGCCGCCACCGATATCTCGCTGAGCATTGCCTGGGCCGGCTGCCGCTGCCAGCCCTTCTCGCACGTGAGGTTTGGCTCCAGCGTCGCCACCGACATCTCGCTCAGCGGCGCCTGGGCCGGCGGCCACTGCCCACCCTCCTCGCGCGCGAGGTTGGCCACCAGCGTCGCCACCGCCGTCTCGCTCAGCAGTGGCGGGGCGGGCTGCCACCCCCCCCTTCTCGCATGCGAGGCTGGGTTCCAATGCCTCCACCGACATCTCGCCGAGCAGTGCCTGGGCCGACTGCCACTGCCCGCCCTTCTCGCATGCGAGTTTGGGCTCCAGCGTCGTTCGCCCACATTCCGCTGATCAGCGCCTGGGCCAGCAGCCACTGGCAGCCCTTCCGCGCGCGAGGTTGGGCCCCAGCGTCGCCGCCAACATGTTGCCGAACAGCGCCAGGGCCGGCCGCCGCTGCCCGCCCCTCTCGCGCGCGACGCTGGGCTCCAACAGCGCCCCCAACAGCTCGCTGAGCAGCGCCAGGGCCGCCACTGGCCGAAACACCCCCTCATCGCCCCCCCTGGCCCCCCCTCCACCTCCGCCACTACCGCCCCACGTCGCGCCGCCACTGCCGCCCCCACCCGCACCGCCCCCTCCTCCGGCCGCCCCACGCCACTGTCTCCACCACAATCACCTGGCTCACCTCCCTCCATGCTGCCGCTGCTGCCACTGCCCCCCTCATCGCCCCCGCTGCCATCCCTTCTCGCACAGGCTCGCTACTGCACTGAGGACGATGCCTGCTGAGCTCCGCAACCCCACGCGTTTCTACTCGAACAGCGGGAGAGCTCGCTGCCACTGCCTGACCTTCTCGCACGCGCTGGAGACCGCAATCCCCAGGCCCAAGGCCAGCGCGGCGGACCAGAGGCGCAACGCCAGGTGCAGCGCGCGGCGGCTGGCGCGGCACCGCCTCAGCCCGCCTGCCGCCGAGCCTCGTCGACGCCCCAGGCGGGGTTGAGCCAGGCTGCGAAGTCTAGGAAGTCCAGCTCCGCAGCCGAGGCCCAACGGAGGCGATGGACGGCCGAATCAGCTCCAGCCTCGCCCCCCCCTTCTCGCACGCACGCTCTTTCGCTGAGCAGCGCTTGGGCCGGCTGCCACTGGCCGCCCTTCTCGCACGCGCGGCCGGGCCCCGGCGTCGCCGCGCACATCTCGCTGAGCAGCGGCAGGGCCCTCAGCCACTGCCCACCCGTCCCGCGCGCGCGAGGTCGGGCCCCAGCGCCACCAACATCTCCCTGAGCAGCGCCAGGGCCAGCTGCCACTGCCCGCCCTCCTCACGCGCGAGGCTGGGCTCCAGCATCGCCACCAACATCTCGCTGAGCCGCAGCGCCTGGGCCGGCTGCCACTGCGCGCCCTTCTCGCACGCGAGGCTGGGCCCCAGCGTCGCCAACGACATCTCGCTGAGCAGCGGTCGGGCCAGCAACCATGGCCCGCCCTTCTCGCACGCGAGGTTGGGCTCCAGCATCGCCACCAAAATCTTGCTGAGCGGCGCCTAGGCCAGCTGCTACTGCCCGCCCTCCTCGCACGTGAGGTTCGCCACCAGCGTCGCCGCCGACGTCTCGCTGAGCAGCCGTAGGGCCAGCTGCCACTGCCCGACCTTCTCGAACGTGAGGTTGGGCTCTAGCATCGCCACCAACGTCTTGCTAAGCAATACCTGGGCCAGCTGCCACTGCCTCGCGCGCGATGTTGGCCACCAGCGTCGACAGCGGCAGGGCCGGACGCCGCTGCCCGCCCTTCTCGCACGCGAGGCCGGGCCCCAGCGCCTCCAGCGACATCTCGCCGCGCAACGCTTGGGCCGGCCGCCACTGCCAGCCCTTCTCGCACGCAAGGTTGGGCTCCAGCATCGCCACCAACATCTCGCTGAGCAGCGACTGGGCCGGCTGCCCCGGCCCGCCCTTATCGCACGCGAGCATGGCCACCAGCGCCAGTACCACCGTCTCGCCGAGCACGGCCAGGGCCGGCTGCCACCGCCC